TATATAGGCTTCCTTGCCTTTACCACATTTGATCTTGTAAATAATTTAGTTGGAATGTTTTATATTATCTGTAATGTATTTCTGTATACTGTTGTTGTATTTCTGGTTAATGGCAAAATAAATAAATGAATGAATGATTGAATGAGTATGGCCCAAAATTTAGAAACTCGAGGCCTTAGGAATCCGGAATCCATGAGTGCAAGATTCCCAATCCAAAATTTATCACTCTTAGGCTACCCCTGGGCCATGGCACGTAATCACTTTGACCTTTGGCTGTTAACCCTAATTCGATAAACATTTACCAAGATTAGTTGTGCGAGTTTATCATTTCGTTACCTTTCGCGTAAACAGAAAGAAAGTCGAAGGATTCGGCCCTCTTTTCAATGGCATCAAAAGTGGAAGTTTCGGTAGAATATTGGTAAGTAACGTAAGTCGAAATTAATTGTCATCGCTGTTTGTTTTAAAGTCTCTTTTTTTGTTGTCCAGCATAAATTGTCAAAACATTTCCAAATGTGGCCAACTATTTAGTCGTTCGTTCGCAAAATTCTAAACAGTCTAAAAACTTTTTTCATTAAGAGAGTGTTAAATAGGATTAATAGCTTGTCCTATCCTGTTCACAATTTAACTACTTAAACTTTTTGCGGGAAAATAAGGTGAGTATTTGTTATTCATAGAGCGATTTTACTTGACCCGTGAAACAATTAATAACAACTAGTGCAAAATAGTACAAACAAACAAAAGAAGACAACAGAATTATTGCATAATAGTACGCACTCTATCTGTTTTCTCTATCATAAATCGAATACATGACACACTTTTTTCTCGAGTCATGATCACGTCGCTTCAGTTATAAATTAAACATTAAAAGAAGTGAAGAGACAAACGTAAAAGTCATGATAGGTGCTGTTGTGATGAATGTTATTTCATAAGTAGCCCTGCAGTCCTTGTCAAATTTCATTTCTTTCTTTTTCGATTCTTTTTCTTCGTGCCTTCTTTATTGCCAATCGTGTTTCAGTGTGAGTTGATGAGTTAGGTGGAAGACGTGAGAGATTGCATGGAAGATCCGATCGCGTGTTTTAACTCCCGTTTTCAGTGTAGTTTATTGGAAAATTTCCAAAACACATGTCCATAAAACATGTCAAAAAAACCTCTTCTCACTATCTAACAATTTCCTTAAAGGTGTATCTCTGATCCATTAAGACTTATAGATAACGTTGTCTCTTGGTTCATTTCATGTGTCAGAGAATTTTCCTCAGTAGCCAACTCCTTCCCCACCTCCCCCCCGAAAGGGGGGCAGTGGTCGGGAATTTGCTCAAGTTTCAATCTTGGGGATGGAGACTTTGGAAATTTATCACAACGCAGGGGCCGTGTATTTGTCTTCCCCCGGCCAGGAAATCCCTGGGGTATTTGAAATTTAAAAGGATTGTTTCAGAGAAGATAAAAATTTGGTTGAGTCAGCAAGACTTGCAAAACTAGTGTTAGATGTTTCTATAGCAAGTGTGATCATAGTGTACATCTCTTGATTATTAGCGCAAGCTGCATGTAACTTCAGAATTTCATTTCAAGCACAATATTTTTATTCTTGATCTGAACGACTTTGCGTGCGGCAAATATCCTTTTATTTAGTTGTTCACCAAGATGCAACTTTTCTCAAAAGCAAGAGCTGCTGCAGAATAGTCACCCTTCTAAAAAACAGATTGATTATTCTTCATGTTTTCAGTTCTATATGACGATATGCCCCACGCTACAGGGAACTGGCTGAACAAATCAAGGCTGAAGTCCCTGAAACCAATGTTGTTGGCCATGTTGGTCGCTTTAGTAAGTTGCAGCTTAGGAGTAGACCTGTATATATTTCTGTATTTATTTACTAAATACGACCGCAATGGTCTGTAACTGGTATCAAAGATGGAATAATCCGTCCGGAAAAACAGAACTACCTTTACAGATGTTCCGTTGTCATGTTCCATTTACTTTCGTTTCCAACCCGATTTTACGGAAATGTTTTGTAAATGGTAAACAACCGCAGTTTACCATCACCTTTGGGAATAGCTAAGAGAAACACGATAAAATTGGGTTAAAAAATGGCATATTTTTCAATGAAGTGTTCTGTTTGTTGTAAGTCAATGTAAAAAGCTGATAGAACTTCTTTAGACTGGTCAGCCCACGGTCTTCAACGTTATTTGAGTGTCCAATCTTTTCGCTAAACCATGACAGACCTTTACTAATCTGAGAAATTTTTGACATTTTTGGCTTTTACTAACCTTTTCCTTTACAGATGGAAGGGAATTAATGTGTTTAAAATTTATTGCCTCTTTGCTTTGTCACAGCCTCATTTGAAGTCACTATAAATGGAAAGCTGGTGTACTCTAAACTGTCCCAATGAGCATTTCCTGTATTCAAAGAGGTAAATAACGGTTTACTATTTTAATGTAGAGAGCCTGTATATGGAGGCCATGCCCGATTTCCTTTGCCTTGCACGGAAGAAAAAGGATTTAAGAGACAAGTGAATGAACTCCTGCCATTTCTGTCCGCATTGGTTTGTCTTTCATTTCTTTGTTGAAAGGAAGCTGTTCCTGATAGATTTTAAGATTTCAAACAACAACCTACCTTAGCTGAGAAACAAGTTGTTACTAGTATCGGGGGCTGGAGGGGAATAAAATAGACTATCTTCGGAATAATGGTATACCTTTTATGCGGGGGGGGGGGGGGGGTGGGGGGGGGGGGGGGGTTAAAAAAAAAGGTTCCCCAAAACACCGCTCTACAATAGTTTGTTTTTTTTATAAAAAGAAAAGACACGCCGCCCATTAACCTTTCCAAAAAAACAATTTTAAGACCACAAACCTGGACAACGACGGAACCAGAACATGGGAAAAAGTTGCGTGTGGCAGGTAG